TAACATTCCTTTGGTCTAGATTGTTGTACAATATACACCACTCAAATGCTGAGATGAGAATGTTATTCTGTGAATGATACCTACCTTCATGTATATACATGTTTCTGTACCAAAGACAATCCAGGTGTAGAGAAAGACATTTGAGATGTTTAATATACCCTGAGAAACGGTACCTTTGGCCAAAAATTTACTGTACAATACAGATGTTATTATTCAAATTTTTTCAATGGTTAAGAACAAAACCATAAAAATCACATGCTCATCTTAGGTGTAGGTGCAAACACTTGCTTTTGCTTCCTTAATAAGAGTATTTTTTTTAGAACAGTGGTATTCCTTTTTAAAAACTACAATATCATGTGTCCTCAGAATGAGAAGTCCACAGGAGAGGGAGTTTTTTTGCATCATAACATACCCATTTTATAGTGGGTTTCCAATAAAAAACAAAAACATATTAAACTCAATGAAGAAGCTTCAGGCTTTCCAGTACTGTGATGTTCCCTTCCCTTGCAGTCACAATTCTTTAATAGCTATTTTAATGGCTTAAAACAAGGTTGTTGAGGGACATTCTATGCCTCACACTGCACTTTCTGTAGGGTATATGTCTTTAAGTAACTGTGGCTGTATTTCATACCTGTAAAGGTGATTTGATTTGTGTATGAGGAAAAAAAAACGAGAACAGATAGTGACTTTTATTCTGGTATCGCTAGCACTGACCACTTATCTGTCTGAAGTCAAATCAACAGCATAATGCATATACTGAAAAATAATTTGCATGATTGCATCTTGTTAAGCTAAGCAAACTACCTGTTCAAATAAGTAGGTCCAGATGTTTGTTCTTGCAAAAGCACATGGATGATGTACAAGGTAACAAAGCACTGTTGTCCAACATTTAGTCTTTGCCAAAACATGCAAACTATAAATACCCTGCACAAATATACGCATCATAATACTTCTAAAAATGGCACTGTTTCACAATATTGCTGTTAAATGTGACCTTGATTAGTTTTCTCCCATTTCAGTCACTGGTGTTATTCTAGAAGTGCACCAAGCAAACAAACCAGAGAATAGCTTGCAACAAAGCAAGTGGGCTCTATCTCCACACACAGCTTGTGTCCTCAGTGTCTGCACTGTGTCCACACACTGCCTTTCAGAAGTTCATTTTTTAATGCACATCAAGCTAAAAATGCCACCTTCTGTTAAGGAAAGGCTAGAAATCAAACTGGAAGAGTGCAGCTACAGAGAAGTTGCATTTCAGAAGACACATTTCAGTCATGAGAAAGTGTTTCTTCTCTGCCCAAGTATGTGATAATATTAAGGGCCAACACTGACAATACCTCTTCATGAACTTAAACACCAGGTTAACCTAAAAAATTCAGTAGTGCTCATAGTAAGAGCATGCCCTCATTATCTGTATTCCTACAGGCAGCCATTACACCTACTCATTCTATTATCATTTTCCTTACATAGCAAAGTTGGCAAGGAAAACGCCTCAAGCTTTCCCCCTGGAAAGCTTTTGAATTTGGCCTGTGCTCATAAGACTGTTAAACACTTCTGAGAGTCCCACCATCTTCTAATGCGTCACTGTGGTACAGGGAAGTAATTCTATCTCTTTCTCTAGAGTAAAAAGACCCTCGTACCAGTGGAAATCAAGTGTATTTATAAAAGTATATACAAACTATTCCAGACACGGTGTGAAACCTATCCAGCTCTGAGGAATCATTAATAATTAAACTGCAAAAGTATGTTAAATGCAGCCATTGGTGTGTTTTATAATCAGATTGCAGTTGTACATTGTGCCCTTTTTAGCACAAATGAAATTATATTTTAAGGCTTCGGAGACGTTGAAGTCAAAGTACAAATTCTGATGGGCTATAAGGAAATGAAAAAAAGCCACTAGTTACCCTGTTTTTAGTAAGGAGAATAAACTGGATGTCAAAGGACAGCTTTCTTCCTAGCAATTAAACTTTCCTGAGGTTCTGATTGTCTAAGTACTGCTTCTTTCATCATAACAAACTCTGCACATTGTCACCAAATTTTATAGGCCATCATTTAAATTCCTCTTAACTGAACAAAATGTTTATTAATACATTTTAGAGATACAGATCAAGCATCACAACTAACAAGGCTATTTGAGGACGAGTATTTAAGTACCTAGGAGTATTATTTTTCCATGTGTAGTGTCAGTATGGGACAACCACGTAACTTGGATGCCAAGTCTCTGACTCCTGCTGCTTTCTTGTATTAGCCTGGGGCATCTAATGCTAGTATCCAACAACAATACACGTACCACACTGCCCACTTGCACTAACAACACAGGGAACTCATTATTGCTTCAGAAGGGCAATTCCAGCATTGGCCTCATAAAAAAATCAGAAGAGAGGACAATACAAAATAACTTGTCTCCAAGTTATAGTCCCAAAGAATAAACCCAGGAGAGCTTTATTCTCTTATCCTTACAGTAAATTACTTTTCTTGACTCAGAGCTTTAAGATTTTATTGCTTTTTAAGTTAGTGATGAAAGATTTAATCACAGATTTGTTAGATTTAGCCCCTCAACACAGGCTTTTCCAGAACCTTCAGAACTCCAGCAGGAGTCACAGTAGAAGTTTCCAACTACAAATAGTACTGGAAAAATGTTGCATTTACCATGGATTTCCTCCCAGTAATAATTCACAGCTTGAATTTAGCAATAAAAAAAAATCTATCATCGTGTCCCCAGCGCCATCTGGGAGATCAGGCTTTTGGCAAAGAAAAATGGAGCAGCAACTGCCTGGCAGCACAGGAAATCAATGACTTCCCCACTCAGGGCTGAGCAACAGGCTGCTCCTGCTGAGCACAGAGTCATTCATTTCCCTTCCTGCCAGCAAAGCTGCTCTGTACATGGAGAAAGCAAAGTCTCTGCTACACCTGCAAGACACACAAACCCCCTCCTCTAAACCTTGACCTTACCAGGGAGGCTACACAATTCCATGTGTATATCCAAAAGGGGAAGGAGCGTGGAGATGGTGGTCTCTTGGGAGAGCTTCTGGACGTGGGGGTTTTACGCTACACGGTAGGCAACAAAAATACCACTGAGTTAAGCTCAAGTCAAAGCTCATGAGTTGACAAAGGATTCAACTGAACTATGCCAACATAAGGGCCAAGAAAATCTGGTCACCCTTTTTGCCCCAGTAGTAGGATAATACTAGGTAATTTCAGGAATTAGAGTTCCAAAACAGGTGTAAAGGGTGTTTTTTTCGGTTTGTTCTAAGCACGATCATTAAAGGGGAGCTTTAAATACAAAAAGATAAAAGTGGAGCACATTATCCAGGAGACACATGGGCATCCTTCCAGGCTGCACTTCTTCAGAGCTAAACCACAAGTTTATTTACATATAAAATACAAAGCATATGTATTCCCTTTTTACTGAGGGTTTGCAGAAACTGGAATAATCATTAAAGATCTTCTGTCAATGTCATAGCAGAAACCACCACTGACCTCTGTAGCTTTAAAATCTCAACTCCTTCCTCCAATTTACTAGTCTTAGGGCTCCCTGGAGCATGAGACAAGAAAGAACAGGAGTTGAGAGTTCCCCCCAACACACACTGCTGCAGAAAAACAGAATTTCACATCCACATTTTCCTCCAGGTCAAACTTCCCAATAAAGTCACAGTAAGGAGATCATTACAGGCATGTACACAGTCACCAAGAACTGTACTACTGTGTGTAACTGGTGTCAGAGGTTACTGATACAAAACAGCAGATAGAAGAGACTTCTGGTCAAGTCAAACTTGGCCCAGATTTGAACCAGTGCTCTGAATAAGCAGGCTTGTCCTTTGAACAGCCCTCTCTGAGATCACAGTACTGCTGTAGCTGTTTCTGGAGCTATGCCTGCACATCAGCCCCAGTAACTGCAGATGTGTTAGGGCATCACCAGATCTTGCTGAGCATTGATTTACCTGTATCAGGCAGATGTGGCAGCATCTCAAAACAGCAACACTGTTTGATGCTTATCTGTGCATCATTGAACCCAGAATCTGTAAAAACACAGCTGTATTACAGCAGAAATATCACAGTCTCTAGCAGCTTCTAGCTTCTCAGGAAGACTTCTTCAGTTTAATAAGTTACATCTGTAAATGCAAATATCTGCCTTATTTCTCTAGAGTCACCATTGCTCTAAATCAATTCAGGTCATGCTGAAATTAGCCTTGCCCTTCAGCAGGTTAAGAGCTTCTCCCATTTTGCTATAATTAATACATGTCCATAGAAAAATTACAAATAAAGTGAAAGACAAAAAAGAAGTAGGATTATTCTGCAATATTTTTTGCGTCCCTCTATCCCCAAGCTCAATAAGAAGCCTCTCAAAAATCTCACTCCGCTGCAATTTAATAAGTCAGCAAAAAAGAGGCACTGCTTGAAGGTATTTCACAAAAGAAATAACATGAAACCTACAAGAGACTCCTCCATAAATGTGAGCCCCACACATAATCCTACCTTTATTCCTGCAATAAGGAAAAAAGCTCATTAATTTCCTAAGCTGGTACCTTCTTCATTGTCCATTTTAGGTGCAATAAGATTCATCATTTAGTCACTCTGGAGAGCAGTAGGTCTGCATTTATCATGGTGAAACGTGTCCTCACTGTTCTTACAGTTTACGGAAAGCCAAGCGCAATGACTCATAAAACTGCTGCAAGAAAAAGCTGAAACAAGTTAACAGAATGAGCTTAAGTGACATCCTTCATCCTACGTTTCCGGCGTGCAGAGCCAAAACCACATCACACTTTCAGCAGAACAGATTTAGAGCTATTATTTATCATAAATGGCAAGACCTTCACCAAGGCCAAGTAATGTTTCATGGTGTTCCTGAGCTGCTCACAGACCTTAAGTACACTACAAGCAGTAGAAGGTCTGGCAGTACTTTCTAGAGCAAATGGGACTCTTTTCTGCTAATGTACTATTCTTTTCCTTCTGGAAAATTCTATTTTCTTCATGCTGAGAACGGTCATCATGAAAACTCTTACCTGTTTTCCATCTAGTGTGTACAAGCGTTTAACCACCCCTGAATCCAGCTTGATGGCATCGGTTATGTCAGTAAGAACCTGTTCAAAGGAATGTGCTGTCTTCTTGTTGAGCAGGATCCGGACTGCCTTCCGTGGCTTCACTCCGCTCCTGATGATAGTGACCAGTTTGGGCCTAATGAAATCCTTATTCTCTTTTGTGTCTGGAGCACCTCCTTTAGCAGTGGCAAGAGATGGCACTGAACGAGAAGTAGAAGTTGTCTTAACATTCACTGACCAGTTTGGGTTTACATTCTTTGTGTACTCCAGTTTCTTGAAGGGCTCTATGGAACCACATACATAACTTTCCCCTGTGGAAACAAAAGCAAAAGTCCAGCAAGTCAGATTGGAGAGGGAAGAAAAAAAAGAAAAATGCAGGAAAATACAAAATTAAATCATTCTCAAATTATTAAATATTATCATTATCATTCTTGGTCTACAGTGCATAAATATTGATCTCTTCCCTTCTCAGATGCTACTGACTACAAAATGAGTGATCTTTTAAAGATCACTCTTCAGCTAACTGTTCAAGAACTGCTGTTACAAAAATCCTTGAAAGCAGCAGTTTTCTTAACAGAAAACACTATTTGCAGTGGGGACCACTGCTGTCAGTAAACACAGTAAACAGTGTCTGTATTTCACCAGCAGCCTAGCCCCAGCACATTATCACAGTACTCCCCCAGCCTTCATGCTTAAGTGGCCCACTCCTAAGAAAACATCAGGCTCCAAACATTTCAGAGGAAATACTATAAAATATTACCAAAAATTCAGGCTACAAATAATGTTTTATAAGAAGGTGGATAAAAGTGTCATGGAAATTTGTTAACTTGATTTGTTAATCTGTCAATTTGATTTTTTTTAAAGCTTTAGGCATCATAAACCCAAGATATGTATAGACAAGAAACCTCCCTATATTATTTACAGACTAAATATCTATGTGGGAAAATGAAGACAAAGAGTAGCAATTAAAGACTTCTCGTCACAACAAATTTACCATACTTAAAAGAAAAATAGTGGCTATTAGTTCCTCTTCCTGTTGGAGCATTATCTACAGTAAAATATTTTTGCAAATACCACACCCACACAACTTCTGGGGAACTAGAAATCAGCCAGAAAACCCAGCAACATGTAGATTAGCATCTGAATCCAGTCCAGCTGAAGGCTGCTGTGTAAGGGGCACCTGCTTGGGAGCTCCTGACTCTCCCTTGAGCTTGACTGTACCTGTGCTGGTAGCAGCACTGGAGGAGTTGGATCAGCTCCGTGATCTGACTGAACATACCAAGGACACTACTAATTCTGCAACATCAAGCTGATCCAGTTCGTCCTCTGTCTGAGGAAAAACAAACTAACAAGCCAAAGAAAAACCAAAAAACTCAAAGAAACCAATACTAGATCCAGCAAGACCACACCTTCTGGCAGCCTACAGTTAAATCACAAATAATGCAAGATCCTTTCCTGAACAATCCCACAGAGACATCTGAGATGTTTTACTTCTTCTGGGTTCAAGAGTTCATTCTATGCTAACAGCACAGAGGCCTTCATGTCAGAAATTCAGCCCAGGGTAACAAAACCAGAAAAAAACTCAGCAATGCACCTCCTATACCAAAAAACGTGTAAGAACCAGAGATATTCCTAATGACCCTTACCTCTAAGGAAAGAGGACTCACAGTTCAATCATTAAAAGACAATTAAGTATTAAAATTAATTTCTGCACAGCAATTTTAAGGTTTCAAGACACCCAACCCAATTCCGGAGACATTATAGCACACAGAGTCACCACATCTAAAATGGAGGCAGGCAGCACTGGGACTTGAGGCTTGGATAAAGGTAGGCTCTTCCTTTTAGCCACTGCATATATCCAAGACAGACAGATATGTATATGCCAACATCAGACTAGAAGGGCTCAGTTACAGCAATGAGTGGTCAAACAGTGCAAGTTCTCTTTTATCCATGTCCTGTCCAGTTGTTCTTGTATTAGCTACTCAGTGCCAGGTCAGAATGCCTCCACCGAACCACATTCACAAAATTAGAAAGTTTTAAGGAAAAAAAAAAGAAATTCTACTATGAGTAAGACTGTATTAAGATCAATACAATAAATGCCTGCTCTATAAAATAATTTGCAGAAGTCTCTTAAAAAATTTTAAGCAAATTTTATTCTTCTCTACACTTGTCTTGGCTGTAAGCAGTAAAATCCACCGGCAACCTTCTATTTTATTTTTTTGGAGGCGGGGGGGGGGATATAAATCTGGATTTTCAGGTTCAGCCCTATTAGGGAAATTGTTCACTTCAGTTGCAGAAAATAACATTTATTTAAAAGCAAGTCTTCAAATTAAAACTCACTTCTCAAAGGGTAGGCTCATAAATAAATGTTGATACACAGTGTACTCAGAAGATTTACATTTAATTTACTAAGAACTCTTTTGGTTCCCCTTCTTGAAAGGACAGCGTTCCACATGATTTTTAATATCAGCTACATTTAAAGGTCAGATGGATTCCTTGTAGCATTTAACTGCACATCAGCTCTTCATTACAAAACTAAATTTATATAAATGATCATTTTAAAAGGACCACTAGAATCACTGAAGGTTTGGGATTGTTTGAACATAAGCACTTTTGCCCTTTCCTCATTTCCAATGGTACCATATCACTAAAATATTTACACCAAGATAATTCTTTCCCTTCAAGAGGCTCATATTTTTCTAAAGAACACCTTGGAGGTAGAGCATCCAAGGACTTCAAAGATGAAATACCTTTAGTAAGAACTATTTTATTTAGGCTAACAGAAACACAGATACTTCTCCCATAATGTTATTATTTAAAGCTATTTTAGGTATTAGCTAGGGACTGCAATTTTCATGCATGCCGGTCCTAAGGGTCAGGCCTGTAAGAATAAAAACCTTTAGCACCTCTGGTGCTTGTACACAGAGAAATCGCAAATAAAAGGACAAAAGGTCTTCACCTAGATTTTCATTCCCTTATTTTTCACCAGTACCTGCAGGAGAGAAGACTGCAAAAAGATTTCACAAGGGGCCTGACTTAAAACTCCAGTAAATCCATCTCCTGCTTTAGCTATTACTTCTTCATCATCAGCTTTGAGTAACTGGCAGCTGGAAGAAGAAAGTAACAATCTCCAGACACTAGATTCCTAACAGAACAAGGGTTGAGAAGGATTCTTTGAAGAAACTGGATTAAGCAAAGGGCACAGACAACAAAGCCTATTTAACAGTGACAATTTGATTGCAGCTCCCCAGGAGAGGAAAGCAAGGGTTTCACAGCGCAGTCATCTGTCACTAATGGAATTTTGACTCTTGATTACAGTATCAATAGCCATTAGGAGAAGAAAAGGGGAACACCTAGTTGCTTTGGGAGATCTGGCATCTAGGAAAAAAAGTGGTTATTACACCTTAGAAAGTATCCCTTTCCTGAGAGCCTCTTCACAGCAACAATGCAAGTGAAACACGTACCATTGGAATCTTGCAAAAAAGATGCACAGCACTTGTTGGTCAGTTTCAAACGTGTTGGTCAGTAACCCTACAATTTAGTTTGCATAACTGCTCAACACTTCTGGGAAATGCCATGTGGAACAATAAAATAAATCTTAACACTGAGAAATTATTCATAAAGCTAATCATGTGGAAGGGCAGATCCCAAAACATTGTTTATGCTTAAAAAAAAGCATACCTGCAGTTGCACATCTGTCAAAATTCAATGCAACTGACTTATCAGAGACATGCAACACTGGAGGGTAGTTCTTATGGGTCATGACAGAATTTCAAGGCTTGCTTCACTTATTAAATATTTGTAGAAATAATATCTGTGTGTACAAAGTGATTGGTAAGGCAACATTGAATCACTGCACATAAGTACTGGAGCTTTGCTGATGAAAGCGTCTCCCTGCTTTCCACATTGGTATTAGCAGTCAGTTTGTTTTCTTCAGCTTGCTGATATTCTCCCCATAAGAATGACCAAGGCATCACCTCTTAAAAGCCATTTTTTGTGTTGCTTTTCTGTGCTTAAGGTGACTTAGCCTAAAATGGCTTCGTGAGGAAGCCAGTTATCTTCGGTGGAAACCCTGGAGAAGGAAGAGAGAACCTGTTTGAATCTCACAAACAGAGAGGGAACATCAACCCCTCTTTGTGGAGGTCAGGATTGGCCAATTTATGGAAAATAGTGTTGATTCCTTGGAGCACAGTATGTAGTAGGAATATAAAGTTTATTTATTAATTAGTAGTGATTTACTGGGGTCCATTTCCCCAACAGATAGGACAAGAAATATGTTAAGAGGGTGGGGAAGGGACTAACACCCAGCACTCCGTGCCTAAGCAAACGTGCCTTTCTTCACTTCTACCCTTTAGTTTTATACATACAGAAGGCAGAATCTCAATCTCTCTGGAGAAAGGACAGAAAATTCTGACTGTGCCTCACTATACTGAGCAGACTGCAAAAAGAAGATGGCCTGAATGAAATAAATTACTGATACTTGATAGCTCCCAAATGTGTTAGTTAATAGAACAATAACCTACTTTAACTACATTGCTGCTGCCTTGTCTACCTTGCTTCTTCCTGCAGGGTCTGAAAAACATGCAACAGTGCAAAAGAGATGGAGCATCTACAGGCAATAAATCTGACCAATGCATGTTCACCCAGCAATCAGATGCACCAGAAACTTCAAATCAGATCTCCTCTGACCTTGGAAAGGACTTCTTTCACAAACTTACTTTCTTCTCAGTTCAGACTAAAAAGTTGGGGTCATTTCCCTTCATCAGAAATACTTCTTCTGTCCCCTCAAATTTCTGCAATCTTATTACAACTAAGATAGACACTGTAAGCACTCAAAAAAAAAGCCCACCAAAAATAATGTAAAGCACCTAGAATAAGAAATCACATGGACTTCCAAGAAGCTGTTAAGCAAGACAAAAGATGATCTACAGGCTAATGGATGAACAAATAATGAAATAAATAGTGCCAGAACAACCCTCTACTATTTTATGCAACAGGATCATTCAGCTGTTTGTTTATTAAACAATATAAGGATTGCAGCCATTTCTGCCACAGGATTCAGTCCAAGTTTCCCTAAATTTGATAGCCCTGGATCAAGTCCATGGTAAATATCCAGTGTAAACTTAATCCTGCAAACAAATGTCCACATAGATTCAGCTCTACAAACATTTAAACAGATACTTTACTATTATTATTTTGATAGCACATTACACATGCATATGAATCTTTCCAGCCCATCGATTCCCAGCTGCTGAGGTAGGCATGATCTAGAAGAAAGAAGCCATTAGCTCTAGAGAGCATCAGAGACCACGTCAATCAATTCCTACAGTCTGGCCTGGCTGGGCTCCTCACCAACAACACCCGAGTGGCTGGCAGAGTCAAGAACGCAGCAGGAATACTGGGAAGGAGAGGGAGAAGCTGAGATACAAGAAATGAGGTGACAGTAGGAGTAGCAAGACCCATATACAAAACAGGTCAGGAACTCTTGCAGCCCATCACTCCAGCAAGGAGACACTGCCTTTTGAACCCTGCAGTGGCAGGCAGCTTCTCTGCTGCTCTGAGCACAAACTGCCTGCCTCCATCACGAGAGCCTTCCCGAGTCCTCATGTGACCCAGCATTTCCTCTGCCCTGCAGCAAGGTTCACATCTCCCAGGAGTTATTAGCTGGCTACAGCTATTACTGGATTTTAAAGCTGGCATATCTGCATCCTTTCAAACTGCTCCTTCAACAAGGTTTGTGGCTCTGAGGTAATCCCTGAGAGGCATTCATTTTTCTTTTTGAGATTATTCCTTAAAACTGTTTTTGCCATTATGCCTACACAAACACGCAGACACAGACAGAAGTCTTTAGAAAAATTTGGCAGTGCACCCAATATTGACATGTGACAAAATTGTTTCCCAGTATGCTCTCAGCCTTGTGGTCTGGGGCTTTTGGCTGATCTTTGACTGCCAGCTCTCATCTGCAGGGTTAACTTTGTGTAGGTATTGTAGAAATTTAAAACAATCATTTCTAATTCATATGCAAAATTCTGAGGTAATATTATTATAAAATTAATGAGAAGGAGATGCAGTTCTGGCTACAGATTGATACTGTGGTCTTTGTTCCACATAGCAGGACCCCAGGAGTAAAAACTGTAAATATTCTTTGTTTCTGAATTACCTTGCAATGTTCATTGCTTATTTTGGGGGTAAGATCTCTCCACCTTTAAGGTTGGTTCCTCTAAGGTTGATACAGTTTTGGAAAAGCAAATATTTCTTTCCTGAAACTTCCTTTACAGCTAAAAAATTTAGCCTTCAAGAGCAACTTCATCTTTATTGTTTCTACATGCTTTGATTGCATGTCATGCCTAGGAAATAAAGTCACATCACATTATATTCAGAATCCATTCTTTAAACGTGAGAGGGTCCAAACAGCAGGCTGACAAAAAGAAGGAACTTGAATCCATTGCATTATTTCCTTCATGTAGGGTGACAGAAGTTACAGACCATGTGAAACTTTTTACAACAGCACCTGCCTTTTGTTATCAAATTCCAACAAGTCTCACACACGCAAGTCTTAAGAAAAACAAAATTTTTAAAAAAGCAAACAAAAGGGGGGGGGGGGGGCGCAAACACAAAAAACCAAAACCAAACTAAAAACCCACTAAACCCCTGCATCTAGGGATGTCATTACTTTCAAATAAAGAGAAAGTGTCCATGCATCTCAAAATAATTGACATCACCAGCGCACAGCCATGCCAGCTCTGAACTGTATGCAGAATGAAGCTAAATATAGCTGAAGCAAAACAGCTCTTTCACAATCTTTTTCCTTTGGGACTGTACTTCATGCAGTTTTGTGTATTTAGCTCTGGGATGAAAGACAGTGGCTGCTGTCTCATTTCCCTGAAGAGCCTCTCTGTCTTTATGTACCACATAAAGGTAAGAGTACAGGAACTTCCTCACTTCCTCAGGCATAAAGACAAAAACCAATTCTAAAAATCAAGGCTTTATACATTTGCTTTACATTGGAATTGCCAAATCAATGTTTCTCCAATCACAAAAATTCATAACAGTCGCAATAAATTAATTAGTGAATTCACACAGGAAGGGAATAGTCTCACCATGAAGAAAGCAATACTTCATATTTCAGTAGTTGGAGCACAAATGTCATTTGGCAAGAGGCAAAAATCAAGTGATTTTCCAGCTATTTAAACACAAAGCACAGCTTCAAGCTAATTAATGCTGTACCAGACGAGCCAAACTCTAATAAATTTGTATAGTAAGGAGTGGAAGAGGCTTATGCAAAAACCATCATTGAGCTAATAATATACGAACCCGTGCTCCACTGTGAAGTTCTGTGAGTGAAACAACCCACCCTGCAGTTTTATACAAATAAACAGAAGCCCCTTTTCAGATAGAATGAGGATGTAGCTCTCCTCTTCCACACAAAGACTGACTTCTGTAAGTCCCACAGTCCTAATGGGACAAGAGAACAAGATTGTCCTCCTTGAACTATACCAGGGAGGGAAGATGTATTCATTGGAAGGGTAAGGAATAAAGTCCCACCGTACAAAAAGAAATCCCAAATGCCTTCTTTAAAATAAACTTAGGCCCTTACACTGTCATTCATTTTGACTGACTGATTAATAGCTGGTATTAGGATGCCAAAATAAACCAATCTTACAGGTTGCTGGATTTATTTTTGAATTCAGTTCTTTATTTTCAAAACTGGTTCTGACTGGCTGCAAAAGGACTGGGCAAATCAACATTAACATCAATGAAACTTGCTTCTTGTTGAGCATACCAATCAAATAAGCAAATGCACAAAGACTGCTTTTAAACAGATGTTGATCAATATTGGTCTTTCCTCCCAGAAATTGATTTTCTCTGGCAATTAAATACTGTCCTGACAAACACAGTTTTAACTGTGCCTTGAAATTGATAACATTGCTCCTCAGATCAGTTTCCTTTCCATTTCACTACACCTCTGGCCCTAACCCCCAAACCTGTTACTAAGACAGACAATCCTGCCCCTTCAGTTTTCTTTCTGAAGCATCTTCGTGTTGCCCCCTACTTTCCTTTTTACACAAGGAAGATTATCAAGAATATCAGGTTCTCAGTACTTCAAAGCCTTCCTCTGCTACGACACAAAAAGGAGACAACCCAATGGTGGCTGAACACCTGCTATGCAAAGCTGCATTCCTCTTTCAGGAGCCACATTTGCCATTACCCTTTTATTTTTCTCTCTCCATATTAGCCTTATTCTGATCCTCTCATTACATCCTGTTACTCTAAGTTCTCTCACCTGGTGCTAAAAATGAAAATCACATAGAAATTACAATCTCTGTTACAATTCTAAATTGGCTGTCTGGTAGCTATCTATCCATTCTTTACTGGTTTGTCCATGGCACACAGGGCCCAGGGGGAGGATGGAAGCAAACATGAATTAATTGTTCCATCTTTATTTTCTTGGAACACAATCAAGTACCTGCATTTGAACTTCATGGGTAAGAAACACTCATTTATAGCCATGTGATAGCCAATGCCTTCATACTCTGTACATTCTGATGTTTTACACTAGAAATCCACTGCAGTCCAGAAGCACTTCATGTTGGAAAAGCCACTTTAGCTATTTGTAATACCTGAGAAAAGTACTATTAATTTTTTAAATTTAATATTCAAATTGATTAATGCTGACAGCTTCTTTTGGCAATAGAACTATCACTGAAGGAGTGATAAATTTGTTCTCAATGGGATAATTAATGACTGGCATGTCTGACATTTAACAGGGACCAAGAATTGTCGGTTCTGACTAAACCACTAGTGCTGGTTTATACTGCAGGTACATGAGCCTTATTTACATACAGCCTAAGATCTCTGCAGCTTCCTGAAAGCAGCTTGTAGCAAGGCGGGCGTTGGTTCTCTCCTCACAAGTAACAAGCAATAAGACAAGAGGAAAGGCCTCAAGTAGAGCCAGAGCAGGATTAGATTGGGTATTAGGAAAAATTTCTTCATGGAAAGGGCTGTCAAGCACTGGAATAGGCCATCCCTGTAAGCTTCTAAGATGTCCAGATGTGACACTTAGGGACATAATTTAGTGGTGGCCTTAGCAGTTCTGGGTTAATGGTTGGACTCAATTATTTTCAACCTTACCAATTCTATGACTGGGGAAAAGGGATATGCTACAGGGGAAAAAAAGTTTACAATCTACCCCAGCTGAATCAAGGCTAAAATATTACTCTTTTAACAGGTTGCCAGCATTTATGCCATGCAATGCGAGGCTAGTATTTTACTTAAGACATATTTACCTGTGGAGAAGAGGTAGAGCTCTTCGCTAGGCTTCAGAGACTTAAAAAACCAAAAAAAACCATCTGAACTCAATTTCACATAGGTTTCATTAGCACCACAGAACTTTTGAAGTTTAACAGACTAAACTCTCATTGGTTTGACCGTGCATCTTTATGAAAAGAAGGATTAGATGCAATCTTCAGGATACAGGACTATCAACACTATGTTGAAAGGAAAAAGACACATTCAACAAGAAGGAAAGAAGTAGCAAGGCAACAATATTTCAAGGCGTCATTTAAGATATCCACATTTCTAGTCAGACCATTGAAAATCCTTCATTTATCAATAAGAATACCATCACCTCTTTTTGAAAGACTTAAAAGCTTAGACAAAGGCCAACTCAAACCTAACTCTACACCTCCAGATCCTACTGCTCACCTTCTACTAGCTGGTCCAAGGAGGAAACCTTCTTGGAGCCATCAATTGTGTAGATTGTTCTCACTCCCTGGGGCAGGTTGACATTGTCGGACAGAGTTCGGGTCAGGTCGGCCAGGAGAGCTTCGAAGGACCTGAAGCGGTCAGGGGAGATGGCGTATACAATCCCTTTGAAGTACCGGTCTCCGTTACGGTAGAAACGAACTTTCTTGGCCTTCTTCTCAGAGCTCAGGGTCTGTAGAGTGCGGGTTCGGTAAAAGCTGCAGTGGGCACTGTGGGTAGGGCTGGGCAGACCATTCACCCGGGACCCTCTGCCATATCGCTGAGCTTTGTCACGCTCATCAAAATGCTCCAGCTCCATATCTCTCCCAAGGGACATCTTGGAAGTTCAACCTAAGGAATGCACAAGAGGAGAGAAAAAGTTTCATAAACCTAGAAGTTTTAAGGGATCTCAATTTAAGACTTCCTGTTCTATACAACACTCTTACAGAGGACTACTTCTTAGGTTGAGAAAAAAGTTTGAATAAAACCATGCTACAGTCATGTGGTCATGTCACACATAAGCCTCTTGCCATGCCTTAAGTATTACATTTAAGTTAAATGTCCTAATAACATCACTCATGAACCCAAATGCTAATGATAAGCAAACACTGAGAAATGTTTGTTCAAATTCAGTATCTCGGAAAATGAGGGGACCAAGTTGACCCACTGGAAAAAAGGAATAAATGCATCAGCTTTCTACTTTTTCTCATGTTATATTCAAGTGCTATTTGAGTCTCATCTACCTTCTCAGCTGTTTGCCCCCACTAAACTCTTGGTTCCAACTGTGACCTCAAGAGGTGTTGTTTCAGAAGGGCTGCCAGTTGCCAACAACTAAGAAATTAAGAAATTTTCAGAGGAATAGATCTGGCAGGTTGGCAGTGAGAATCAGGACTATCACACATAGTGGGTCAATCCAAATGTTAAAAACTACCTGCATATTCCAATCATTGGTTTCCTCATAGCCTAAGCTTTGTAATAAATTATTTCAGTTGTCCTTGCACAAATGCTTTACACACTCTGAAACAACAGATGGGCTCAAAGGGCACAAAATTAAAGAAAAAATATATTAGGAGACAGTGTTTTTCAATGAGCAAGCTATTTCAGGGCTCTATGTCTTGCAAGATGTATTATTAATATCCTAAGCCTAATATTCAGATTAAGGCCAACAGCTTCGTTTGCCATCACCAAAGGAGTGATAAAATCAGTGCCATTGAGCAAATAAGCAATTGGTCTCTCCCATGTTTCACTGTGAGAAACACCCCTCAGCCTTGACCAAAACAATCCCAGTTGTTCAATACAGTTTACATAAACAAAAGTTGACATGTTCTGAAATAAAATCAAGAAGGCAGATACTTCTGTTACTTTTTGACAACCAACACAAGACTAAATAATACAAAGTGCACATTAATCATTGCAAACAGAAGACACAAAAATTTAAAAAAATACAATAATAAAAAGATCATTAGGTTCTAAACATACTCATTTTAATTTAGGAGCCACCTAGATTTGCAGTTGCCTGCAGAATAGTAAAGCACTGAAAGTTTATTTATAGCACAGATACATAGACCTAATTTAGAAGTGGCCTCTCTCATTGATTTCCAATAAAAAGACAAAAACCAGCAAGCACTAGCTTTGCTTCAACCACTCATAATGATGTGACCATTAAGAAAAAAAAAATGTATTCAAACCAGCTGTAGAACAGTGGGAGGAAATAGAGGAAAACTTACAGATGCTCTTTGACTTGCAGAAGTTTGTATTAAACCAATGATTATACAGTTGGACCCTGATGCTGCAAAGCTGTAGGTGATGTGCTCAGCAACTTCTCAGAGCAGTCCATGTGCTGGACCAGCACAGGCACCTAAGGCAAATGTGAGGCCCTAGCTGAAATTATTTACCCTACTTTGGTTACAGCTCACAACTGAATTTGTTACACTGACACAGGATCATATGCTCATGTACAAATGCAGGATTTATACTTGTAAATCCTTCAGAAGTACCTACACACAGTACACTGTATGTGTTTTCTTATACATGTGAAAAAAAAGACTAATCTCTGCTTTTCCCATGCACACTACATCCCATTTCAGTGAAATGAACAAGAACATTTGCTGTGGCATTTCACTCTATATGTTAAATGCAAAATACAGCTTAGTGGCCACATTTTAGGATTGAGAACACACCATCACTGCTTCCATGTTAAAAAAATTTTGTCAGTTATTTCAATTCCCATCCATTTCCAGTGAGAACCTGTTATTCAGATTTAAACAATCCCAGAATGCACAATTCAGAAACTGTATCTCTCAAGCAATTCCCATGCCAAAAAGAATGGATTTTTCTTAGGTCTGCTGTTATCTTTGCTTAAACCATCTCTAATACATCCCCTTCAGAAAAAAAAAAAAAAAAAAAAAAAAAGTTTAGACGAAGATATTCTCTTTCAGCTTTATTAATTTTGGATGAGGGGCAAGAAGAAGCGTGAGTCACTGTCCTTTCTTCCACACGTTTATGCTTTTATCAATACTATCTGTAATTCCCAACTACATCCTCAAAACCGAAATAGAGCTCCCCTATAGCTCCACAGTCCTGGTATGTAGAGAAAAGCGTGTGTAAACCACAAGGTCAGAGCAGACAAAGAAATGCTAAACAATTTGATCTGATGTTTCCGTTTATGTGTATAAATATATAGTCTTATACAGGCAAATACGCAAAAACGAACAGACACGCCCCTGAAAAACCACCATGCCAACACTTCACACCCTAACATCTGTTAAGGAATTATTTATAATACAGGTGTGGGTGAGCATTTCCATGAAAAAAACACGCATGCTGATTAAAAAAAAAACCCACCACACTACGCCACGATGTGACTGGCACCCAGCGCAGACCATTCGGCGACCAAGCAGAGCCGGATGACCACTAGGCACCGGGGGAGGGCGGCGGGTCTGGTGGGGGAACACGGATGCATGCGGCAGCGGGCTCACGAAGATGGGGTTTATTCTGCTGGGGTAGGGGAACCGTGTGTGACACACGCCCATTCCTCCGGAGCTGGCACCGGGCACCTCAGCCCCCCGCGGGGTGTCCGAGCCGCGGGGCACCCGGGGCAGCGCCGCGCCCGCTCCTCGGGGCCGGACCCGCTCCCGCAGCCCGGCACTCGCTCCCCGGGGCCAGACCCGCTCCCGCAGCCCGGCACTCATTCCGCACCCGCGGAGCCGCCCGCGGCGCCCGGCGGAGGCCGCCGCCCCACACAATGGGCACAGGTGCATCGCTCCGCGCCGCGACCGCGCCCCGGCGGCCCCTCACGCCGCAGCCCCCGCGCAGGGCAGGACAGGGCAGGGCAGGGCAGGGCAGGGCAGCCCCGGCCCCAGCCCCAGCCCCGGCCCCGGCCCCGGCGCTTACCTGTTCTCCGCAGCCTGGCGGGCACCTCCTCACTCAGACCGGCCGGCCGGGCGCGGAGGGAAGGCGGCGGCTCGGAATGGGAAGCGGCCAAAGAGCGGCGGCTCCCGCCCTCCCCCCGCGACCACCCGGCTGTAGGCGCAGTAGTTGCCGCAGAAAGCGGCTCTGCTGCCTTTGTTACGCCTCCCCTGGCTGTAGCGCGCTGCTGGGGAGCCCGGGCTGCAGCTGCTTCGCCTTTCTTCTGCTGCTGCCGGTTGCAGTGATTTGCATTAGCCCGGCCCTCATTGAAATGCGGCTCTTCACACCAGCCTCTCCCAGGCGCTCTCCAGAGGGCGGCGCCGCCGCCGCTGTCTCCCCCTCTCTCTCTCCCGTTGCGGGCCCGCTTTTCCATGGGCGCTGCAGGAATGCCGGAGCCGCTCCGGGCAGCGCGCCGGGTGCCAGCCGAGCCCTGCCGGGCCCATCGGGCACCATCCCGGTGGGATCTCCCCGGGGCACATCCCGGCCCGCCCGGAGCCTCCCTCCGCCCCGGGCAGCCCCGGCCTGGGAGACGTGCCCGATCCGGAGCTGCCTGTGCCCGGGGCAGAGCTGTGCCTGCCGAGGGGGGCATCTGGCCCGAGTCCGAAAAGCGCCTTGGGAAGTGATTTTAGCAAATGGGTATGTTGGCATGTCCAGGAGGTTCGCCTGGGCGCGAGGTGCTGAAATCCCACCGAGTTCCCAAAGCCCCATGACGTGACTTGGGTGCTGAATGTGGGATTGATGTGGAATTTAGGCATTAAAACCAGGAACCATGCTTATTCATACCAATCGCTTAGTTACAACTGACCTTGGAGGTGACTAAATTCCATAGATGCTACAGGTTTTAGGATGAAATTTCTCAGAACGTGTATTTGGCTAAAGGCATCTCAGGCTTCATCTGACTGAGGCACCCAACCCCTGAGCCCCTCGGGTCTTGCAGCATATTTGTCAAGCCAACCTCCACACAAAACTTCAGCTCTACTTGATGCTTTCTCCTCATAGGCTTGTTATTCTTCACTTTAGTGTAAAAATTTCAGTGGTGAGATCCTTCTCACAATGAAGGATCTGGTTTGCTCCCCTTTGTGCAGCAAAGACTTCAGCCCTCTTCTGCTTGTCAGGTAAACAGCCTGTGGTCCAGGGGGACATGGAAGAGAAGAAAACACAGTCTGTCCCTTCTGTTGGAGCTGCTCCACTCTAAAAGAATTAAAAATGCATTAGATCAGAGAGAGGGAATTAGTCTGTAACCTCATGGTTATGGCACTCATTTGGGAAGGACAAAAGATGGCTTTGTGTGTCTGTATTACGGACAATTTATGTGTTTTATATCCATAAATCCAGGGACAATCAGTGGAGCAGGGACTTAAGCCCAGGGTGCCCTGCTCCCTTTGACAGACCTTTAATCAGAATAGAGGTTCCTGTTTAATCTCTCTGAAGGCAAACCAAGCCTTCCGTCTACAAAAAATGTAAGAGGCTCAAAAGAAGGGGATGGAGCACTCCCTTTCTTTTCTTATCCCCCAGAGAAGTCCATATGTAGGTTCTTAGGAGACAGGAGATTCCCTAAAGGAGAAAAACTAATTGTTGCCTTGTCTTCATCATCCTGGAGGAGTTTTTTAATCACTAAAGAACAGAGCAAAAAGGAGACTTCTGGCTACACATTTTCCCCTAGATTTGAAAGAGAAATGAGCACCTATAACCTTCAGAAAAACCTCTGCTCAAATGAGTAATAGTATTAAAATACCTGAACATCAAAAAGAGTCAGAATTCAATGTCCAATTGTGTCCTCAGCACACTCTTACCACCTAGCTTAGTTTTTTGGGGTCTTGTTCTAAGTCACTTAACTCTTCCCCGATGGACAATGAGGTGCAGAGTCACTTTACTATAAAGGCTTGTTTTTCAGGTGCCAGTTCCTAAAAAATAAGCGAGCACATCCACATTGAGTATTTCACCAGCTTTTTAGTCTGTTGGGTTTGAAAATGTCCTGGTCTGTGCTTAGACAAAACAGATACCAGTGATATTGGTAACTTTGGTATATGTGGGTGGAGAATGGAAACTAATATTAAAAGAATTCTGGTAGTCTTACAACAAAACTTTATTCTTTAAACCACTTCTTTTGTAGGTCAACAATCAAATAAAATATTCATGACAGTCTTAAATTATAAGAAAAAGCAGACAATCACAAAGATTAGAGATGGAAAATACCACTGTGGTCCTGAAAAAGGAGTGTCTTTTAACATTCTTCAGTGCTATTTTGTTCAGTTCATTGTAAATGTCTCATTTAAATGTCTCGGGGCTTCTGCACCCCAAAGGAAACATCCCTTTAAAGTTGAATTCCTCCAATGATAAAGATGTTTTTTTCTGATAATCAGGTTAATGGAAGTTTCTTATATTTCAACTCATTACTTTAGCTATAGTGCCCTGTATTCACGTACATAATTTATTTCTCCCATTGGTGTTTACATCTCCCTGACATGTATTATTAACATCTAGCCTAAGTGTTCAAAATATTTCACAGATGTTTAAGAAAGACCTTCACTCTGACTATATCAAAGAAGGTCAAAAGAAAAGAATACAGCATAAATTAAGGCAAGAGTATAAAACCAGTAGGAAAGTATCTTTTAAAACATGTTGTTTTGTTCATTTGAAGTTTTGTGTCTAACATAAAGACACAACACACTAGTGTAGTCTGTCAAGCATTCTGACCATGCTTTTATTTTTAAAGCACTTTAAAATATGCTTTACCTTTTTTCTTGTGTTTGTTCTCCATTTGAATTAAAACAGTGCAATTCCAAATAGAAACAAAACCTGAATAAAATATTGGAACAGCTATAGAATAATCCTGTTAACAAAGTATACTGTTTTCCTAATAGAAAATTGTCTTTCCTTGATGGACAGACTTTGAAATAGTGTGTATTTCGAAGACCCCTGTAAATGCATCTTTATAAACCACAGTACAGACATTTAACTTTGGACAAAGTAACTTTGACTTCTCATCTCTGTTGATCAAGTTTTTCAGATTTAGGAATCTTCCAACAGTTTCAGCTTTTCTGAACATTTGTAATTTTTGAGCACCTTTGTCAAAGTAGAATCAGATACGGTTATGTCACCACCCAACACTCCTATATCTTGAAGGCTGTACCAAATGCTTTGGAACATTGTTCTGGGAGCTTCTCTTTAGTTGGCTAACCACTGTGACCCCTAATTCCTTTTCAGAGTCACTGCTTTCCAGGACACAGTCTCCAGTCTTCTAAACGTGACCTACATTCTTTGTTCCTGCTGAATGACCTTGCATTCAGCTGTCTCAAAAAGCACGTTCAAATGATCCTGGCTCACTAAAGGATGTCAATTTCCCTACAGAAAAACTGTTTTTTCTTTGCATTATTTAGTGCTTTATGCATTTCATGTCATCTGAAAATTTTACCATTAATGTTGTTAAATATTTCTTCAGAGCCCTCATAAATTTATGCAGCAGCAGAGGACAGCGTTTTCTGAAATGCGGGGCTCAATCCCCCACGGCAGCGGCGTCAAGGGTGTGTTTACAGCTCCCTCCACTTCTCATCAGAGAGGCACTCAGCTCTCAGGATGCCACACCGGGCCAAGGGAGCTGGTGCTGTGGCTGCTGCATATGCCCAGCTCAGCAAACAGCCGGTGCCAGCTCCCGGCAGGGATCTGAGCCACTGGAGCGGCACCAGCCAGCTGGGCACTGCGGAGCCGTGCGCCAACCTGGGCCGGGCCGGGAGTCTGGCACCAGCCTCACGTCGGGAAAAACCCACTTCTGAGAAACAGCAGAATCCTACAAATTCCTCAGGCGTTACCCAAGGGATGGTGGTTAGCTGTCCATACTTGCGTTTGTAGATCCATCATTTAGCTGCTTCACAATTAATTATTGTGTGTTGCACTGATTTTGTGCAATGCCAGTCACTTAATTAGGTTGATATACTGCAGGATGTCTGTCACTTTAGAGACACCTATGTCAGTGCAGTCATCTTCATCAATCATATCCAACAATTTCACCCAGAAAGCTGCCCAGTTTGACAGGCTCATTGTCACTAATCACACAATCATTTTTGGTACTGATTACATCAAATACCAGGACTCCATTAGTTTTTCCTGCTAGTGATTCCAGCACAGATAGAATTATAAAATCAAGGTCATATTTTTTGTGTTGTCCTTGGCTTTATCTATGTTTTACATCCTTAACATACTAGAATTTATTGAATAGCAACATTAATTGTTCAGGCAGACCAGTAATAATTTCTTTTTAAATTACTCATGTACTAAAAATTTCCATATTATTTTAGGCAAAAACATATGGCATTCATGACTGGGATGGGACCATATTGTGAAGAAATATTAGTTGAATATTTCTGTCTGTTCTGCATTGTTATTGTAAAATTTCTGTGTTAATTTCTCAGATGTTTTTCATTGATATTTCCTTTGTCACAGACTTAAAGTAATGGGCAAAGAAAAAGTTTTTGCTAGATTATTTGCCTTGTATTTCTCTTCATCAAGTCTGTGTTAAAAAAAACAATACTCTAACTGCACAACTGGATTCTTGAATCTGGTAAAATCATTCACTGTTACAGACTCTTTTCCTCATTTGTTTTCTTATAAATGACTTCTCCAAGAAATTAATCTTTTTAAACTACGGACCAGGAGTTAATTCTCTTTACATAGAGCAGATATAATTACATGCTGGTCATTGGATAAAACATTCTTAAAGTTATTTCTACATCTTTGTCTTCTGGAAAGAGGTCTCATTGTAAAGGGAACACATTCAGTATTGGAATGTTATCTTATTTCACTTTCTGATATTCCATGAATGCTTTAACTATGTCAAAGAAAGGCCACCTGCTGAAGCATGGCTTGTCAGACTTATATCTTTTATTTTTCTTTCAGACATATTATTTCAGGTATGAGTAAGGACATGTTTAAAGAGCTGTTTTGCTGATTTGATTTGCCTTTTCTTGGTTACCATATTAAACCTAAAGCCCTGTCTTTTGGTTTTATAAATTAAAAATGAACCATCCATGTGGCAGGTCAAATCCTGCCTGTGAAACAACTCTTTCCATCTCCAAATATTCTCCATCATCATGTTGTTTAGAAACATATTTGAGTAAACTCTTCCTATAATTTTTCTCCTTTGTTGCAAAGAAGCTGAATTAAAATAATTTTGAAATGTAGGATCTGAATTTTTGCTGGTCTTTGGTTTAAACTAGTTAAACAGAATTGATATTCTTTGCTGACTGCTAACCTTTAGCAGAAGCAA